TGTATGTTGATGAATGAATGACTGACAAGGCCTTTGAGAGCCTCCCTCTGTGTTGGGAGCCACTCAAGTTGATGACACCCTTTCTTCTTGTCTCTCCACATCCTGCTTCCTCTGGGCTCTGATTGAGACACGATTTTTCCAGTTCAAACCACTCACCTTCATACCGCATGGTGAGCCCTTTGTAGGCCGAGAGAGAATCTACTCCTTTTAAGGACAATCCTCCAATCTTTCTAAACACTACATAGTATGTCATAACCACACAGGAGGACTTTTCTCATCACAGCTACAAACTCCCTAAACAAGATACAATTTAAGGGCTTATTTTGGCAGAGAATGCATGGAACCACAGGGATGGGAGGCAATGGGCTACATGCATGACATAGTCAGGAAGTAGAAAATGAACAGGAAGAAGATAAAAATTTCAAGACTGTTAGTCAGGCACTTTCTTTAGCAAGGTGCCACCTCCTAAAGGTTCCTTAACTTTCCCACCACCATTACCACCAGATAGAGACCAAGTATTCAAACATGAACACACCCAAGCAACAACAGGTTTCTTTTTAATACCCTTTTCCTGTGTACTATGGTCTGGTCATGAGCTTATAAAGATTATAAAAGGCCTTTCTTGCAAGGTCTCTTACTTATGGGCCTCTGGGGAACCATGATGGGTGTTGTATCTAGGACTTTGCCTTGCTCAGTTGACCATAGTGATTCAGAATCTTTTTTTTTTTTTAATTATGTAGGCTGGTGAGTTGGCTCAACAGATAAAGGTTTCCAACAAACCTGATGACTTGTGATTGATCCTGGGAACTAACATGATAGAAAGAAAGCTGCCTTCAATGGGTTGGAGTCTGATTTTCACAAGTGAGCCATGATACATGTGTTCAGACAAAGAGAGACAGAGAGAATGATACACACATATAGGAACAATTTAACTAAGCGTAATACAAGTTTTTAAAATGTCTATGTAGTGTGTATATGTGCACACTGATGTGTGGGGTTTCTGAGTAGAAGTATGAGACAGTGCACGTGTGTATGTGTGAAGGTCAGAGGGCAGTCTCTGGTGCTAGTCCTCATCTTCCACCTTGGCTGGGACAGGGTATTTGTTGAATATATCAGGCTTACTGGCCACAAGCTTCTGGGGATTCTCCTGACTCTGCTTCCTAGTTTTGGGTAGGAATGTTGGGCTTATACTACTGTATCTGGCTTTACATGATTCTGGTGATATGAACTCTGGTCTTCATGATTGCTAAGTAAGGACTTTATTCAGCAAGTTACTTCCCAGCTTCCAGAGTCAACAAGTTAGAAACAACTCCAGAGGTTGAAGGCAGAAGTTTGAAAATTTTTATCAACAACTTTCATGGATCACAATTCTCTGATTAGTAGCTACTGTAAAAAAACAACACTGTGGCTGCAGATGGTTCATTCAAAGAAGTAGCATAGGATTTAGAGCACATAGGATTTCTACAGCAGTACAGGGAAATAAAGGCTTCTGGGAGCTTGCATCTTCTTCTTATCCATATCTTCCTGAATCCCATCTGTAGTTTGACTACTCTCCAAGAGGCATTCATAGACCACAGGATGAGTCATTAGTTCCCTTGGCAGCAACTGAGAGCTACTTAGGGCCTAAGCAGACCTGTCCATCTTGCTGGCCTGGCCACATGTAGGGCTGCCTTGGCAGAAGCGTGCTAGCAGGCAGATACTCATACCACTTCAAAGACCTGCCCCTCCAGGTGCCGTAGGTGGCCTTTGTGATGCTCACGCTTTATCGATGTTTATTTTTGCGAGGCACCCAGCTGCTGTGGTGATATTTATATCAATAAGTGCTCCGCTCATCTGCCAGTTTCAGGGGATGCTTGCCAGCTGTGTAGAGCAGCCAACCTTGGGGTACTTCTGAGCCTGATGTTTTTACATTTAGAGACTTGATTTTCAAAGGCTGTGCCAACATCTGGGGCTAAAAGATCGATCATTCACCAAGGACTATTCTTTAAAAGAGTAAGCTAGAGTCAGCAACCTTGATATTATAGGTCCCAAAGTAAGCTTTTTCACAATTCTCATTCTGTTCCCAAGCTTCAATTTTGAAAAAAAAAAAAAAAGGGGGGGTGTTGGATTAACAAAAAGAGAGAGAGCAAATAGACCTTTATCCTTCGGCTGGAGATTGAACCCAGAGCTTTCCAGATGCTGGTCACTTGTTCTGCCATTGAACTACAACTTTAAGAAGTGCAAATAGGCTTTTATAGGTTCCACCTTGTTCGCACTTTATAAAGGTAAGTTACCTTACTTGTCCAAACAGTAGAGCAGATGGTGATAATGTCTGATTCTAGAACTTTCTAGAACTCTCTTTTAGGGGGATTTACCTTATTTTCAACTGTTATCTCTCTCCTCAACCCTTAGTTCTTTAGGACCTGGATTTTGACATCATCCTTTACCTCCTATCTTTAACCAGACAGCATGTTTTGTCTTCCTACCTTTGGGATACATGTATACTCCATATTACTAGCCAGCTCAAGCCACCATCATCTGTGCCTGACTGTTCTTATTGCCACTCAATGTATTTTCTGCTTTTGTTATGAAAAACCATCATCACCTCCCTCCCTCCATTTTCAACACAGCAGACAAAGGGATACTTTTACAAGTCAAATCATGTCACTCTCCTGCCAAGTTTTTCTGTGTCTCCCTATCCTTTGCAGAGTGAAGTCTCAAGTTCTCCCTGTGGTGACTAAGGTCACCCATGGCACATAACCCTGTTACACTTCTCATATCACCACTGACTCTCGCTATCTCACCATGCTCTGGCCTCAAATTACTCTGCTGTTTTTGAGAGCATCAGGTATTTTCCTACCACACTGCCTGGATACACTGTTCCCTGGGAGGAACATGTGGCTTGCTCTCTGGCCTCCTTCAACTCTGGGTTCACATATTCTCAGGACCTTCCTTGACTATCCTAGTACATCTGTGCCCCAATGCAGTTTTAAAATATTCATTTATGCTTCCTTGTCATCGGGTCTCAATATATGATTGAATTCCTTATAGAGCATTTGTTGTTTATGGTTAGTCTCTCCCCTTTAGAATAGAAAGAGCACGGGAGTCAGGAATATTCTCATTTCACCTTGTCTGTGTTGTTCACTGATACATTCCAAGAACCTAGAATAGCTTCCAGCAAATAGCAGTAGCAGATGCTCCACAAATATGGGTTGTGTGAATAGAGGAAACCTCTTCTGGATAGCTCTCATGGGCACGTTCCAACACATACTCATTTTACGCCCCTTCTACTCTGCTCTTGCCTGTGTTCATCCCTCCCATCTTCCTGCATTTCCATTTTGGCCAGGTGCTTCCTGGATGTCTGATCACCCAGACAAGCCACCTGCCACCATCTGTGACTTCTCGTCCACATTCATGTGCAGCTGTGCCCTGAACTGTGGACTTCACACTGGAAATGATTTCCCATCTAGCCCCAGGTCTCCTTCAAGCTGCTTCCTCTGTTCAGATCTCCCACCTCTCAGTCTCTGAACGTAAGTCACATCTTTTTCCAGTCTCTGATCTCTATGTCTGTGCTCTCTGGTCCTAGATTCCACTTTCTAACACAAGTTAGAAATCTTAGGACCACCCCCATGGATAGCAAAGGCTGTCTAATTATCCTGGAGCCTCTGGGCTGGATACTGCAGAGGGACTCAAGTGGCTGACTAACTAGCCAAGGGCTATGAAGAATAGATGAGAGACAGTGTGGGTGGTGCTCTGGGTCCCCACCTCCTGCTTTAACATGCTCAGACTCTGGGTGCTTACTTCTGCTTCATTCACTGGGTTTGCATGAAATTTTCAGTGGTGGAAAGGATCCTATCACTTAAAGAACAACAGTCTACTTTTATCAGTGCTTTAGTTCAAGACCCAGGCTCCTACACCAGGAACCTCTCTGCTGACTGAGCCCTGTTGTCTTGTTTCAGTCTTACCTCATTCTTTCCCTCTAGATAAGCCCCAGCATGTTGGAACCGAAGCTGGCTACAAACAAGCATCTGTATGTCCATCTGCCTTGCCTTTACCTCTGTTGTTCTATGAAGAAGCCCTTTCCCAGCCATTCATACCCTGTCCGACCAGATCACCCTTCCCTGTTCCCTTCAAGGTCCAAATCACCTTCCTTTTGAATTCTTTCCTCACCCACTGGATAGAATTAATTGCTCCCTGCTCTAGGTCAGCATGGCACTTCATTGCTGACCTCTATTATAGCATAGCCACAAGAGCCTGGGATAACTTGCCCATCTGTCTCTGTAGTAAGACTGGCAGCTCCTGGAAGGCTGAGAGTATAGCTCAATTCCATTTAGAAAAAAATTATTCCCACCCAAGGCCAGTGCAAGGCCAGCATTCACACAAGAGTATACCTAATGACTCTGGGTTTCCTTCAAGGCACAGAAAAGACAGCATGGCAAAAATCTGAAAGGCCACCTTCATCTCTTCTACCCCACATAATGTATCCAGAGGCTGTCCCAAGAGAGTGTCCAATGTCCTAGGTGTGGGGAAGTATAGGCACACGATGGCAGGAGCTAAAAGACTGAGAGGGGCTAAGACATAAAGTCGAGGCTTGGCTAGGTAGTCAGGAGCAAATAGTCCTAGGTTTAGATTTCAGGTTCTGCTGGCAGAGGCTACATGGCGAGGAGCCTTTGGGGCTGGTGATGTTCAGTGTTGTGTGTGGGATCTTGGTTTTCTGATCTCTGTATGATTTAGAATAAGGCTTTATCCAGTGCCTAAGGCTTAAACAGCAGGGTCTTGTCCTTGGTGTACTTAGAAAAAGCCCATAGTCAAGGGGATGAGTTTATGGGAGTCATTGGTGAAGGATTCAGTGGGAGACTCCTTGACTCTGCAGGCAGAAGAATAGTTATGCTCTGGTATTCACAGTCTGACAATGCTCATCAGTGGGCCATCGTAGAGTGTCCTTGCAAGTCTATAGCATACCGATCATAACCCACAGGGGCCCACCTTTAGCAGTCCCACAGCCCCCCACCCCTTCCTACCTGAGCAGTGTCCATCTCATTCAGCATCACCACAGACGAACAATTATAATCAAACACCAGCCTCCAGAAGTCTGCCACAGTGTTGGGTAGAGGGTGCTGGGTGACCACAAAGGCGGCAGGCTGCTTGTGGCTCTGACAAAAGAATGACACAGGTTTAGTCAAATATATGCCCATCAGTGATATTCTGATCATGATGAGGCCGGGATGGCTGCCAGAGGCCCTGAGCCTGCCAAACAGATTTCACACAGCACCTGCCTGCTCTGTTATCTCTCGGTGCCCTGGCGGCAAAGGGGACCTTCCCATAATGAACACATTCTCCTCCAAACTAAGACATTTCATTAGGAAAGTGTCACAAGGATGGGGATTATCCAAATAAATTATTTATGTCTCAGAGCTCAGCAAATCATCATTATAATATGAAATGGAAAATCCTGGATGCAGGTTTACTGTACTTCTGGCCCAAATACCTCTTGTCATATCAGAGATCCCACAAGTTCCTGTGCCTATGATGCCGAGGACAGGACCAATGGCTCCAGAGAGGCATCAGATTACAGGAATCACTCCTGTCTCTGGGACAGATTGAGAGCTGAGCTAGCTTGGCCAGAGATGACATTGTGTCCTTTAGCCCACGAAGCAGAAGAGGCAGCCAGGCATCAGAGTCATGTGGACCTGAGAGTCAAACCCAGAGTCAAACCTCGGAAGATATGACTCACCCATGTGCTCACTCATCTAGTGCTGTCCCCCCCCCCCCCCCGTTTGTTATCCATTCTAATTTTTAAATATCACTGTAGGGAGTCAGGCACTAAATGCTGGTAAATCTGGATGGTTTCAAAGCTCTTTTTCTGGAAAACGAAACAAATCTAGAGGGATGGTTGTCATATGATGTATGTGGTATGTAAATTAAAAACAAACAAACAACACTTGGCAATTAGGGCTAAAGAGATTGCTCAGTGGTTCAGAGCACTTGCTGCTCTTCCAGAGGACCTGAATTTGGCACCCAGCACGCGGTCAGGCAGCTCACAACTATTTGTACTCCAGTTTGATGGGATGTGATGCCTCTGGGCTCTAGAGGCACCACACTCGTATATGTGAGCATATCCACTTGCAGGTACATACACACCTATACATAATCAAAGCTAATAAAAATAAATCTTAAAAAACCAAAAACAAGCCAATCAATCAATCAATCAATCAATCAAACAAACAAACAAATAAACAAAACAAGTAAGCAAGTTGACTGCAGGGTAGAAACATTCCCGACATAGGTTTTCCTCCTCAGCATCAGCAGTGTGTCTAGGTGGCACACACTAGACACAATCACAACCTAGCATGGGTAAATACATTAATTTCATATTAGAATCAATGACAACACAGCATTATTAAATATATTAATTTGCTCTTGTGTTATAGACAGAGACACTGAAGCCCAGAGGGTGGGGAGGGGGAGTCCAGTGTAAGCTTCAGAACTTCATTTGGACCCCATGTGACATACTACCCCAGGGGTAGATATTTGGAAAGATTGAGTAGTGTCTCCACTTTATTGGTAGCTTGTGAGGTCTGAAAATCAGCCATTGTTTCAACATATTTTCAAGGTAGCTGGTCTAGGTCGGAGTCAGAGATGCTGTACTAGAAGGAAACAGGGAGAGAAGAAGGACAGAGACTCAGAAATACCATGGCAAGGCCTTGTAGACATATTTACTATGTCTACACTAGGTATTCCTGCTTCCCAGGGCCTTCTCTTGGTCAGTGGATGGTCTAACAAGGGGTAATGGGGGACAGACCCTTTAAATGTCTCAAAGCTCTAAGGTTATGTTAGCATGGCTTTTCAGACATTTCTAAAACAAAAAACAAAAAAACCCACCACCACCACCACCAACAACAACAACAACAAAAAACAGGCTAAGGCTATTGAAATGGCCCAGTGGTTAAGAACAGTGGCTGCTTTCCCAGAGGACCTGAGTCTAATTCCCAGCATCCACATGGAGGTTCACAAGGCATACACACACTTCTTCTGGTCTCTGCAGGACAGACAAAACATTTGTATACATAAAATAAAACTAAGTTAAATTAAAAACCCAGGCTTTCAAGACAGAGGCATGGGGCTTGGGTCTTTGGTGCCACCATCTCAAAGCCAGTTGGTTTTGAACAAGTAATAAAAATACGCTGACCCTCAGTAAATCTCAAAAAAAAAAAAAAATGGGGAGAGTAATATTCCAGTGCCGACGAGACAACTCAAGTCCAGAGCCCAACATGCAGAGAATGTTAGTTTTCTTTGCTTTCCCTGTCTCTGTGATAAATGCTCTATTAGACCAGCACGGCTGACAAAGTCTTATCTGAAAATATGTTCAAGATCTGCGCTCCTGCCGGGTTTCAGGGATCAGCCAGCAATCCATTTCATGGATAACATCATCCTTTACCAAGGGAAACATTAAAAATTAACCCAGAGGACTTCATATTTTTCTGCTAGAGGCAAAGCTGCTATGGTTACCAGATAATGCACAGACTGAACTGGAATACAGATAAGGATTTTTTTTAATATAAGAAAGGCAAAGGCCTCAGTGATGACTCACGAGAGAAATGCCCTGTGGACAAAGAGAAGACAATCAGAATCAGAGCTTGGCATAAGGCATTTGACTCCAGGCAGCATCTAACCTGCAAAGCAGAGGCTAGGAACTTCCTTGATTCTTGCTTAGATGAAGAAAGCAGAGAGAGGATGATAGGAGGATGGGGGATAATGATAGGGGTGGCTTTGAGAGAGAGACAGAGATTGGGGGGACAGAGACATAAGAACATAAACAGAGACAGAGACACAAAGACAGATTCAGAGAGAAAGAGATAAGCAGACAGACTCACAGGAGAAAGAAGACAGAGACAGAGAAATGCACAGAGAGAGAGACAGACACACAGAGACACTCACATACACACATACACATACACACAGAGAAATACACAGAGACAGAGATAGACAAAGACAGACTCAGAGAGAGATACGCAGAGACAGACACACAGAGACAGATAGAGATAGCATACACACACACACACACATACACACACATACACACAGACAAACACACACACACACACACACACACACACACACACACACACACACACAGAGGTGGAGAGGGAGAGCTTAGAAGGCCTTGCGCTAATACCAGAAGTCTTTCTTCCTCTTTGAGCAATTCTAACTACTTAACATGATCCAGACACAACTCTCAGCTTCTACACTCAGCTAGGAAAATGTAAGCACCTGTGAGCTGAAGCCAGGACAGGCTTTTTAAGAGCTTAGTTGGGAATTGACCTTGGATTATTTCTTTGTTTCCAAAACTTAGAACACACAGAACAATCAGAGGTCAGAGAAGTAATGGTCTTGATCCAGGAAGTGAATACTCTATTGTCTGTAAGTGAGATAGTTGGACCACTGCATGAGCAGGATGACCATGACCTCACAGTGGGGAAAGGTGAGGAGAACCTGGAATTGCTCATCCCCAATCAGGCAATAGTGCTCTTGGTCTTGAGCCTTAGAAGCCAAGATGGTCATATGAGTCTTAGTGGATCAAACAAACAGGGGAGGGATAATTGATGAATTCAAGAGTGGAATCTAGGAGCTTTGCCATCAGCTCTCTGGAACAGCCTGAGCACATCTTCCTCAGTATCTTAGTCTCTCCTGCTGCATGGAATGCCCTTGGTTTACACTGCTGCAAGCATCTGCAGACCCCGAAGGTGCAATTGTGATAGCCAGAAAATGCCCAAAGACACAGGGGCAAGGCAAATGAGGCAGAGGCATGGAACACTGGGGCAGAACATTTCCTTAATTTCAAACCACAGTAGGGAACAGTTCCCTTCTGGGGCATGCTACTGAGGAAGCTGTTAGAATCAAGGTGGCCAGTTGGGCTCTGGATTCAGCCATCTTCATGTTAGGAAAGCAGTTTTTCTGTAATGGCTCCCAAAGGGCTTCCTGCCAGGGCTCAGCTTACATCCATCAGTGCTGCATTGATGTAGTTGCTGGATTCTCCATCTACTGAGATGAGGAAGGGTAGGCAGCGGTCCAGAGGCAGGACATCCATGCTCCGATTCTTGTCATGGTTCCGGGGTAAGAGCCCAATGCTGCAGTCCTCAGGCCGCACACGAGGTGTCACTATGTTGAGTGTCTGTGGGGTACAAAGGTGAGTAGAAGAGACTGTATCTAAGGGAACTGACACCTCAGTTTATCTTATCTTCCCTCCAAGCTTGGCTCTGCCACCTCTTTCCCTAAACCGATGCTTCTCCCATGGCAGTGATATTCCATTATTTCCTGCTTGCTGCTATAGGACTTCTGGGCTAAGAGTCTTTGCCAGGAGCCTTTGCAACACCTTCAAGATGCCAAGGCTGCAGGGGCAGCATGCCCAAACACAGGCTAAGCCACAGGCTGACAACACCTGCCAACCATTTGAACTGTTGTTCAACTGTGCTAGCACAGCATTAAGGGAGGGCCAGCCAGAAGGGCATATGGTGGGGAATGGGTTGGAGAATTTCTAATGAATGTTAAACACCACTTGAAATGCCCTGGAAGGAAGGAAGGAAGTGATTTACCAGGACTCTTCTCAGTGTTAACATGGAAAGACTATAGACAGATGCTAGGATGTACTGCTCAAGGTGATAAGGGGCCTTGTGGGGCAAACTAGAAGGTCTACAAAATTGCAAGGCTTGTGCTCTGTAGAGTAAGTCTTACAAAGTTAGGGACCAGATCTGTACCAGCCAATAGACTAGATCCTATGTGGAATGTCCAGGGTTGTGTGCCTTCTATTGCTCTGACACTTGGCATGCTGTCCCTGCCCTGAGACAATAAAGATTACTTGTTTAAAGGAGTCCTAAAATATCAGCCTGACTGGACTAGTATGAGCCGGGGATTTACTTGCTTCCTTCTGCCCAGTTCAAACTACACCATTGGCCAGACTTGTCATGGTCTTGGCCATAGGATGAAGGGCTGTGCTCTAGCTTTTCAGTCAGTGCTATGCCCAGGACTTTAGTGTCTTCTATTCATTCATTCATTCATTCATTCATTCATTCATTCATTCATTTTTCCATCCATTCATATTCAGGCCTCTCAACCCAAAGCTGCAGTTTTGAACATCCTGGCTCCAAAAGTGTGGATCTGTGATATCTGAGCCATGCTCTAAGAGATGGTTTAAGGCTTAACATGCATACAGAGATCCTGTTAAATTGCAGATTGTAATTCAGTAGGTTTGGGTGGGGCCCAAGAGTCTTCATTTCCAACAAAATCCTGAGTCCATGGAATGGAATTTGTGGAGAAAACACTGAGGCTACAGTCCCTCCAGATTCAAAGAAGCATGAAATTCACACCAGCTTATAAACTTCTGTCCATTCCACAACATCAACAAGAATTAACTAAGACCTCGGTTCAATAGCATAATCACAGCGGAAAAACAAATGTCAGCCATCATTGAGTGATTGGTTAATAGTTGCTAATGACTATGCAATCTGATGGTGTGAAAAGCTTTCCACAGCTGCTGGGCACTGCAGATACACACACACACACACACACACACACACACACACACACACTAGCACATACCAAACTCATCAAGAAAAGCTCATAATATGTACTTCAAGTTGCAAGTTGCCTGGATCATTACTACAGATTGAAAACACACACACACACGTTTCCTTCTGCACCCTGCCCCATAATCTGCTATCCCAGCTCCCAGCAGGGCATATGAGGAGGTATCTGGGAATCAGTGTCCCTATGAAAAAACACACGCACCTTGTGAAACTGTAAGGAAACAGCCACTCACAAACCTCAGTCGTGTCTGAGCTCTCCCCAGATACTAGATTTGCTGTTAGCTTGCTTTTGGGCTTCAGTGCTTTCAGAGATGTGAAAAGCAAATATCTGATAAGTAAGTTACCCAGGCTGTGGGAATTTGTTAGGACAACTCAGAGCAACCAAGTCCCTGAACATCGGCTTTGTCCATACCTGAAACTCATCTTTGATCTGACTGGAGTTGGTCTGTGGGTCCAGCCTGCTGATGTTGTAGTAGAGAGAGCGGAACTCACACACAGGGATGGCCGTATTGCCGCAGAGGCATGCTTCCAGGATGGCATCATGCACAAACACGTACTGCTCCTGCAAGGTCAAGGGGAGGGGAAGAAGGCTTCAGTGAGAACAGTTGCCTGTGAACATTTATCCACATTGAATGAATCTTGCAGCAACAAAGAAAGACATGATTTATACTGCAGAATCCTTAGTCTTTATCCTGTAACCCAAAGGTCTAAGTCACCAGTGTTTTACAGTGATTGAGCTGGACAGTGTATTTCTCCCTAGTACAGGACGGGACAGCAGAGTCACTGATAAGGATGAGAAATGTGAACACATGCCATCACAGGTGCTTCAGGGGTTCCACTCACATCATCAGCACTCATTCCAAAGATGCTAGCTGCAAAAACCCTGCTCTTCTCTGCTTGGGGCTTTCTTCCTACTTCCCAGAGTGTACTTAGTCTTATGCTTAGGACAAACAAAAAATGACAGGTGGAGAGTTGGGGGTAAAACCCCAAGGTTCTTCTTTTCTTCTATGGGACAGTTTAGAGAAATGTGGTCCACACTGTCTCTCAGGGGTTACCAGCAGGATTGGGTTTCAGATGTTACAGCACAATAAACTACACTTAGTTTGTTTCTGTCCTATCCCACTTTACACTCAACAACTACAGTGTCTTGGGTTTGCCTTCAAAGAGACAGCTTGTGCTGAAAGGTGCATCTCAGGGTCTGATCCTAAAATCTGTGCCCCATCCTCTCCATCCTGCTTCTCGGGACCCACTTTTCTCTTCTGATGAAATTCTTCTTCTTTACTATATCTCCATGTTTTCTTCTTTCCATTAAGCATTTTTTAAATCTACCAAGCATATGTTCATTATCAATTCTAGGTCTTTAGTGTGTTTGCTGGGAGGCTTTTATTTTGACAAAAATTTGGCCCCTTTAAATAAAGTGGTTTTCATTGGGATGTATCATGATGCATTTATATTTAAATGTTTCCCTGCCTGACATTGAGGGCCATGTTTTTGACTCTACCTAAAGCAACTGCCTTCTGTAGGCATGGGATTGAGCACAGACAGCACGGTTATCTTGGTTCTAGTGAGAAAGACCTGAGAATTAGCCTATGGGCTCTCTCAGAGCCTGCAGTAGATTCTAGTATGATGGAACTTTCAATGAGCATCTGCAGGGACTGTTGTACCTAAAACCCTGGTAAGTCCCTTTGCAGGGTTGATATTGGTGCAGCTCCCATGGGTTCTAGATCTGCTAGGATATCTACAGCCTTAACTATAACCAAAAGATTGACTTGCTGTGGAACAGCAACCCAAGTTATGCAGGAGTAGGATAGACAGAAAACTTGAATAACAAGAGAGAGGGGTTCAGAACAAAGAGCATGGGTCTTAGGGTTTATCGAAGTGAAGTCTTAGGTATATAATTTCTCAATGTCCTAGTTACTGATAGAATGGAGATATGAGCAGGAGATACATCATGGGCTGTGGAGAACAGGGAAAGTATCCTAGATACAAAGAATGCATACTCCTTGGTGCATTGTTGGTGACAATTCAGATAGTTTTAGTTGTATTATCCTCAGGCATCAGGCTCTCCAGCTAGACAGAAAGAAACCTGGGTGTCTGCCTTTCTTTGAAGGCAAGGATTATGTATGTCTTTCTAGGATGCCTCAGCCTTTAGCTCAAGCCAATGTTCTCAAGAACTTTGGGCTGGAGCGATGGCTCAGTAGTTAAGAGAACTTGCTACTCTTGCAGAAGACCAGGGTTTGGGTCCCAACACCTACATGGTGGGTCATAACCATGGTAACTCCAGCTCTAGGAGATCCAACAGGACCTTCTGACCTCTGGGAGCATCAGCCAAACATGTGGTACACTTACATACATGCAGACAAAACACTTAGATACATAAAATGAAACAAATAAATGTAAAATATCACTATGCTGATTAAGCCATTTCTATTAAGGTCTGTCTGAGTTCTTGGCATAAAGCAGGCATTCCATAAGTATCAATACTTCCTCTCCCTCTCCATCCCCTCACTCAAGGCTCAAATACCATCTCTAACAACTGTCATTCAGTCTTACTTGGATTACCATAGAGATAGATAATTCAATGGTTAATGCTTCCACAAGTTCCTGTACCACAGACTGCCAGCATTGTTCTGGACATCTTACCATAGCGAGCTACATAGGCAACCTGTACCAATAGGTGTACAGGCATATCTCTTTGTGCAGGACTTCTCCATAATGAACCTCTGTCCCACTATGCTTCTCCTTGGTCAAGATTCTAAGTAACTAGCTGGCTCAGGGCCCCAGGACTAACCTCTGTTTGCACTAGGTTGACCCTCTGTGCCCGGAGCTCACGCACACAGTTGAAGATGTCCACAACCCCTTCATTCTCAGCCATGTCGAGCATGGTGTCAATGGCAATGAAGCAGCCAGTCCTCCCGGCTCCAGCACTGGAAGAGAAGTTGGGTGGGATCTTGGGATGCGATGGATTATGATAAGGCCCCTACCATTTAGCCCTATCTCAAAAGTCTTGCTGAAAGGCAGTGTGTTGCAGAAGTCAGATGGAATGGTTGGGACCCTAATATTTCTGTGCTATGCTGAACAAGTGATCACATTTTCCTTTATTAGATGGGAGAGTGATGCTTACTATTGGAGGCTGTTTTCAGGATTTATTTTGTTGTATGTGTATAGCAAATGCTTATGCAGTACTTTTTGTACAACACATTGTTGTACAAGTGCTTTCCAAAATTGGTTTTGGACTTTCCAAAAGGTGATAGGCAAATTTCTTATCCCATCTCACTGAAACTGAGGCATACAGAACTTGTAGCCTGAGGTCAAAGAGTGGCAAATGAGAGAGCTGAGAGTTCTCTGAGGTAATCTAGAATATCTGCTACCTTTCTTAATAAGATGTGTAGTGTGTCTGGCATACTGGAGCCTTCCTAGTAAACATATCTTGTCCTCTCTCCCTTCTTTTTATTCTCTCTGTCTCTGTTTCTCTGTCTCTGTCTGTTTCTCTCTCTCTTTCTCTCTGTGTCTCTCTGTGTGTCTGTCTCTGTCTCTGTCTCTGTCTCTGTCTCTGTCTCTCTCTCTCTCTCTCTCTCTCTCTCTCTCTCTCTCTCTCTCATATCAAGAAATGGGTTGATGGATACAGAGAGTGAGACAGAGACCAGAGAGCTCTGAGCTGTGTCAAAGGCAGAGAATAGATCTGAAATCTCCAATTCAAGGCCCTGCAGTTGACCCATTTGTGATGGCTTCCTCAGGGTCATGAATCAGACACATCATCATACTAGAGCAGCTAATAGCCTTGATGGGGGCATCAAGCACCAGGTTCCCCAATAGAGAATCAGTTTCTCATTACTGACAAGCTTTAACAGGAGAATCTCAGTCAAGACACAGAACAGCAAGAGGATTCCACAAAACTACCAGGAACACAATAGATCTTCCCAGATTGTTTCTCGGCTCTAAAACAATACAGCAGAATCACAGAATGCTGGTCTGTACTGTGCACAGTTTTGGAAGGGAAAAACAGGACAGATTGTGAAGGAATCCCACACTGATGGTAGTTTCACACTTTACTTACCCTGTGGAAACAAATGTCTTTGTCTAACAATGTGGAAATCAGTGAGATGCTAAAGTAACACCGGCCATGAAGCAATGGCCATCTGGGGTCTGCATCAATGGTGGTCTGGAAACCAGACCCCTTGGAAGCAGTCCTCATTTGTGATAAATTGCCATAGTTCAAACTGAGTCCAGTCTGACTTAATCTTGCCTGGAAATACCTGTCCCCATGCAACTCCGGAACCTTCAAAAAGAATTGAACAGAACTGGATCTGGAGATTGGAAAGGGATCTCTATCTCTGTCTCTATCTCTATAGATAGATAGATGTAGAGATAGATAGATAGATAGATAGATAGATAGATAGATAGATAGATAGATAGATACATAGATAGATACATAGATAGATGGATGGATTGATAGTCACTCATTCATCTGTTTCCCAAAGCCTCATCCTCAATATATTTCATGGGAATGAACTGGTATCACTGGATTTGAATCTTGGCTCCAATTCCAGTATCAGTGAATAAGGTGCCTGGTGTTAGTGAGCTTCAGCTCCTGCCTCCTGGGAGAGGTTTTGAAAAGTCTGAACTTTGTGTGTGTGTGTGCATGCACACTCATGTGCGTATGTATTTTGTTTTCTGTTTGTTTTTCTAGAATAAACTGGTAGTTAAACACATGGAGTTTGAGATTCCGAGATTAAATCTTGGCTCTGTTACATACTAGCTGTGTGACCTTGGGCAAATGACTTCATCTCGTTGGGTTTCACTATTCTCATTCATAAAATGAAACAGGCCATATACCTCTTAGCATTAATAGTACAGCATATGTAAATTACATTAAATTTCATTTTAGAAGCATATTGCATGTAAATTGCTTAGTTTTGTGCCTGGCTACTTATAGTCCACGAATATTTATCGGGCATCCATGATGCTCTGGATGCCGTGATTAAGAGTAGGGATAGGAAGATTACTAAAAGACACTTACTGTCCTAAAGTATTTGTTATGCTTTGTCTGGGGTGTAGGATGATGGTAAGAGTCTGGGAGAGTGGCTTGGAATCCTTTCAGGTACTTAGTGTGCATTAGCCAAACCATAACAGCCCCAGGAGAAGGTACCACTCTGCTTAAATACTTTACAGTGGCTTGCTATGGAGATACAGGCACAGACCACCACACCCAGGACTGCAAGTGGCAGAGGGTCTCATGACTACTTGCCATTGTCGCCCTACCTCTAGCCCTTCTGATCTCTGGCTGCTGTTGGGAGCTAGGTACCCAGCTTAGATGCTCACGGATCTTCTGCTCTTTGCAATGAGAGAGAGGCAAAGCAGAGAATCCATGCCAGATGCTCACAGTGCAGAGGTTTCGGCTAAACTCAGTTTTTACCTGTGACGTGTGGTTGGTTTTGTATCTACAGCTGTGGAGAACACAGAGGGATGCTATACGAGGGAGGGGCTGGCTCTGAGACATTCGCAGAGTCTCCTCTGGCCTCTTGACTGACACAGACATTGCCAAGAAGGATGAGATGGCTGAGTCATACAAGGTGAGAGGAGACATGCTGAGCCCAAGGTCATACCGAAATGGAGGGATAGTGGGAAGGAGCGGGACACAGACTCTGTGGCCTTCAGGTCTGGACATCTACCTTCTTCCCATTCCAGATGCCCTTGACACGATACTTCATCTCCATTTTGGAGGATCCAATGACACTTATGTTCAAAGTGACTTTCTAGGTCAAAGCTAAAAATTTCCTGTCTCAGTAATAAGGGGAACCTGATGCTGGCCACTTGCTCTCTATTAAGGGCCCTGCAGGCCTGGAACTGATTTTTAAAAATAATAAGAGTGAAGAGACACATGCTTATACCAAGGCGTCCCATGTCAAGTTGCTGCTAGGAAGCCCCAGAGAACGTGTTGACAATATCAGCTTTGACATTTTCCAGCTCTCTCTATCATCTCTGTGCCTCAGTTTCCCTATTGTAAAGTGGGAGTGATAAGAATATTACTCACCTATCAAGGTTGGATGTAAAGTGAAGTGATATGGGCAGATATACATGGCAGGCATATCAGGTGCTGCTAAGCCCCGTTGTGTCCCTTGGGGTAACAACCATAACAGTAACTTAACCACTACTGTTGTTGCTGAACCTCAGGATCCAGGTCTCCTCAGAAGGTGGCAAGGCTCTGGGCCATAGGAGGAGGAGGAGTCTTAAAGCCAAAAAACCAAGGCCCTGAGACAAGACAGTATCACTCTCACCCATAGAGCAAATCCACAGAGGTCCTGTTGGTTGAAGGATGGGGCTGTAGATTTGACTCACCTGCAATGGACCACTATAGGCCCGGCTTCTGGGGGGTTGAGGAACTTGACCTGGCGGACAAAGCCCAGAAGGCCAGTGGCATAGCAGGGAACACCATGGTCAGGCCAGCTGGTGAAGTGGAAGAGGCGAAGCTCCCGGATCTCATGGTAGCCTTTCTGAGGAGAGAATGGGCCTCTGTTCCTTCACCTGCTTCCTTCATTACTCTCCCAGAGTGATGTGGTGCGGGGGGGGGGGGGGGGGGGGGGAGGAGGCCTTTGCTGGGTGGATGAGGCCCTTGCTGGGGGGATGGGTGTTAATTCACAGTAACTCTGCTCAGCTACTTTCAGAAAATGTGAAACCAGTAATTTCTTGGAGAACGTCTTAAAAATAAATTAACATATTTATGTATTTTTATGTGTATGAGTATTTTGCTTGCATGTTTTCAGTAGGCATTCAGAGCATTTCCTAGCTACAGCTAGGATACAGCTATCTTATTTGTTTTCTCAAGTGAGGCAATCCTCACCAAGGGTCATCTTTTCCTGGACATGTGCTAGTCCCTTTCAAGAAGTGATTTAAGCCACAGTGCCTGGCCCTGGAACAGCTCATGACCTCTCTGAGTAAGGAAGACTTCTATATGAATAGATCTACTAGGTCAGTGGTTCTCAAGCTTCCTAATGCTACAACCCTTTAATACAGCTCCTCATGTTGAGGTGACCCTCAACCATAAGGTTATTTCCATTGCTTCTTCATAACTGTAATTTTGCTACTGTTATATATTTTAATGTAAATATTTGATATTTCTGATGGTATTACACAGGTTGAGGACCACTGTACTAAAGTATAGGAAGGAATTCTCTAACATGATTGGAGATGAGGAGAAATCAGAGAAGTCTTCTTAGAAGAGGCATCTTTGACTAAAATCTGGGAAAGAAATACTGAAAATCACAGCTGGCGTTTACTAAGTACCAGTGATGTCCCAGTCACCCCTTTGACCACATCTATGCATTTATTAATTTAATCCTCAAGTCAGCCATACTATTATTACCTCAGTGTTATAGACAAGGGATGTGAAGCTAAACAAGGTTTAGAATGTGTCAGACAGTAAGGGGATGGTTGACACACTGACCATAAGGCTCCACTGCCTGCATGCCTCATTATTACGAGGCTGCTGTATGTATGAGCCTCCCTACCTCCCCGAGGACACAGAGGGGCAGCATGCATGAGATCCCTATGACAGACTAAAGAGAGCACTGTACACAGTCACAAAAAAGCCAAGTCGGGGCTGGAGAGATGTAGAAGGCAGCCTAGGAGGATCACAGGACTGGAGTGTGGGGCATGGGAGGTGTTGAAGCCTGAAGTCCTGGAACCCCACTCAAAGCCCTGACTATCTCAAGGGACCTAGGATATCAAGGCCCCCAGTGGGTGTTCTGTGGATGATAGATTCAGGGTATGTGCTGGTGTTCAGCCAGTCTTGGTTCTTGGGTTGTTATATCATCTTCAGCTCCTGTGTGTCTTGTTGGAGACAGCCTCATGATCCCCTTCTTCAGAGGACAGCCCTCAGCCGGACCTGTATCCCATCCTTGGGTTGGTTGGGGATAGTTAGCCTTCTCCATCTGATACAAAGGTGGAGGTATTAGCTGCTTTAATAGCCCAGTGTGCCTAGAATGGAGGGCTCTCCCAGGATGTGGCCCTCCAGTGCTAAACCAGCCTGTTTTGTGGAGTCAGGCTGGAGCAGCATGCCTATGAAGGTCCTGACTCCCTCAGGCCCTTCTCCTGCAAGGCCCCTCTCCATACACAACTCATTCAAATTCCTGTTGATATGGACTTTGATTTCAGGAAACCCAAACCAAGATTGAACAAGATGAGAGGCAGAGAAAGGCTACGAGGGAGGGGACAAAAGCCAGATTGAATCAGGGATATAGGAGGAGAGGCAGAACCGCTCCAACACTGGCTTGTGCCCTCCTGACCTGTATTTTGCTGTCACTGGTGGAACTGTGCTTACTCCAGGAGTAGAAGCCACTGCTACTTGCAATTCTTGGGTTTCCAGTACAGGAACTAATATTGTGCCAAAGCTTTTGATAGAGTTTGCTGACCACCTATCCATATACCACGGAGAAGCCGATGGTATTACTCCTCAGAGATTCATGAGGTCTTGTAAGTGAAATTTCCTTATAGTATTTCCTTTAGGATTGTTTAAGAGAGGAAAAATAAACCCCACAAAACAAGAAAAGATCCTACTTCCTCATCACGCCTTGCAGGCTGTAATTTCTCTCTATTGGGGTCTGGGCTAGGAATACCATGACCATAGTCAGCAGGAGCACACATGTATAGGCCAGCATCTCTCAACTTAGACACTCCTGGATGTGACATGTGATTGGATAATTCCTTATCATGTGTATTGTGGATTATTTAGCTGCACTACTGGCCACCACCCACTAGATGTCAGTAACAAAATACCCCCTGTCAAGCTATAGTGTTCCCACATGTCCAGATAGCGACAGATACCAACCAGAGGACCAAATCACCCCTGGTTTGTGATCAGTCCTAGGCTAGATTCCCAGCCTTGGAAATGCTGGCGTCGTTTTGCCCTCCACACTACATGTTTTTGACCTTTGGCCAAGGCTACTATTCCTCCCACCCTTTCCTTGACTGGAGCCTAATTTTCTCTATGAATTACTTTGGCTTTAGGGGTACATAATGGGGTACATTTAAATTTCTTGTGCCCCTGTAGATTTCTGCCTTCATCCTTTGGTACCTTATAGCTTCCATAAGAACGTATCATATCCTTATTCCGTTATGTTGTCTGTTGACGTTTGTCTGTCTCTCTAGTTGAGGAGTCCATTACAAAGTCTATTGTGCTGACTGTTGTATCTCACCAGCTGGGCACAAATGAGACCCTTGCTCTATACTGTCTGAATGAATAGAACAAACCAACTGGCTTAAAAGAGGGACTTCCCAAGAAAAGGGAAACTTACCTTCTGGACTGTGAAGGTGCGGATGACATATTCTGCCAGGGGCTCTGTTTCTATTAGGGTGACTTTAATGTCTCCATAGACCTCTGTGTCATCCGGCCAGTATCGGACACACTTCACCTGTGGCCGAGTGAAAGACAGGGAGAGGATAGGAGAGGGCAGAAGATGAGAAGCCACCTCCTTTGGTTTTTCCCATCCAAATAAACCCAAGGGTGATTTTGGAGGCATTCCAGCCCATGGGGCACTCAGTGGTCAGGGATCAGCAAATTGTGCAGGGCCTAACTCACTGCCAGAGTCATTGGGGCCATTATAATAATAGCACTATCTTCTCTTAGAGCTCCTTGTAATTTTCCAGTGCCTTGCTATACTAAGCCATCTGAAAGAACTAGGTAGGATGGGAGGTTTATCATCTCCACTTAGCAGATGAATAATACTACTGGAGATTGGTGACTTGTTCGTTTCCTGCTGTGTCAGCTTGGAGCTGCTGAGCATTATCATCTGAGCAAGGTTGAGAAATTCAAGTGGGGAAACAGCAAGGAGGGAGAAGCAGAAGCGATCAGGAGAGGGTCCTTATGAAGATGTGGTCCCTGGGGGCTGGAAGGAGAAAGGCTCTTCGTTGGGGAAGAGACAGACAATCCTGAGCTCAAAGGGAAGATGTACCACTACTCTCTGCCCCAGCGGTAGGTATCTATGCTAATAGCAAGCCCTTCCCATGTTTGACTCTTGAGTTCCACAGAGAGAAAAAGAAATCGTAGTTTCCCCCTTAAAATAACAAAAGCGTTATTACCATTCCGGGGGACGCAGCACGGCCTAGCGTGGCAGTTCCCAGAGTGTGTTCCGCTGGGTGCTAATAGGTGTTAGGTAAACAAAACAGAAATAAAACAAAACAAAACAACAACAAAAAAACAAAACAAGAAACAAAACAAAACAAAAAGAGTTTTTTTTGTGGTCAAATGAGTTTGGGAAATGCTGTTTCTACAAAGTTAAACAAGCTACTTTGGTAAAAGATGACTTAGTTCCTCAAAGGTGCTAATGTTATTAATAAGTATCTTAGGACTCTCCAACGGGGCAGAGGACACAGCATTTCCCAAGCGTATTTAACCATGGAACCCTCTGCTCACTCATCATCCTGGAGGCTAGCATCCCTGGGAACCCACTTCTGGGGGAACGCTCAGTGCGCAACAGGGTTTGGAGGAAAATGGACATTGCTGGATTCTGAGACCTTGGAGCTAAGTACCTTCTAGAAAAAGCCTCAGACTCCTACAGCTAATGAGAGGAGATACTTACCTTGCTTAGCATTGCCTATTAAATGTTCTATGACTTATTTGAGTGTATGATGTTAATTATATGTCACCACAACCTTAGAAAATATGTTCCCCCACATTTTACAGGTGGTGATTTAAACATGAGGAAGCTGAGAATATTGTTCAAAGTCAACAGCTGGCAAGGAATGGAGTGAGGAGCAAACCCAGACTGACTCACAACCAGGAACACTGCCTTGTGCAATTGCTGTGCCATAAATATAATGGTGTGTGTGTGTGTGTGTGTGTGTGTGTGTATGTTGGCCACTAGGAGTTCCATTATGAAACTGCTCTTTCTCCCAAGTTGCCTGATTTCTGTTCAGTCCAGCACCAGAAAAATTCATATTCATTTTAAAATGTGGAATGTGTTGTGTGCCAGGCTGGAATGCTCAAATCCTGGGCAGCTGCTGTTATTCACTAGAGCCGCAGCCTGAGACTTATTCCCTGGGGAAACAGCTGAACAGTCGAAACAGCTGGAAGTAGGGGACAGTCTGAACTGTGGGGGACAGTATGCATAATGGGGGACAGTCTCAACAGTGGGGACAGTCTCAACAGTGGGGACTGTCTGAATAATGGGGGATAGTCTGAACCATGGAGGACAGTCTGAACAGTAGGGGACAGTTTGAACAGTGGGGAATAGTCTGAACAGTGGGGGACAGTCTGAACAGTGGGGGACAGTCTGAACAGTGAGGGACAGTTTGAACAGTGGGGAACAGTCTGAACAGTGGGGAACAATCTGAACAGTGGGGAACAATCTGAACAGTGGGGGACAGTCTGAACAGTGAGGGACAGTCTGAATAG